CACACCCACACCCACCCACCGTACCCACACCCACACCCACACACCCAGACCCACATTTCAATATGTGTAAGTGCGATGTCACTGTAACGCTGTATTGAAATAATTCAAGTATAAATAGTACGGAGACGAATAAAAGATTCATATTCGAGTCTAATAGAGCACATTTCTATCTAATAATGATCATACATATAGTTCTGCACTATTCAAATAGCCAGAGCCATATCCGCCAGCAATTAAGATATGTCCATTAGTTAGTACAGATGCTGTGTGACCGTACCGTGAAAAACTCATGTTGCCAGTGTTTGTCCAAAGTCCTGTTGATGGATCGTACAGTTCTACACTATGCAAATAGACACTCATATTTGCAATTCCACCAGCAACTAACACTTGTCCATCAGTTAGTACGGATGCTGTGTGATGTTCGCGTGGAAAACTCATGTTGCCAGTCTTTGTCCAAAGTCCTGTTGATGGATTGTACAGTTCCGCACTATACACAGACTTACCATCGATATTTCCACCAACAGCTAATATTTCTCCATTAGTTAGTACAGATCCTGTGGGATATGTGCTTGGGAAACTCATATTGCCAGTCTTTCTCCAAAGTCCTGTTGATGGATCGTACAGTTCTGCAGTATTCAAATAGCCCGTAGGGTTGGATCCACCAGCAATTAAGATATGTCCATTAGTTAGTACAGATGCTGTGTGATATGCGCGCGAAAAACTCATGCTGCCAGTCTTTGTCCAAAGTCCTGTTGATGGATCGTACAGTTCTACACTATTCAAACGGACACCAAGACTTACAGTTCCACCAGCAACTAACACTTTTCCATTAGTTAGTACAGATGCTGTGTGATATACGCGCAAAAAACTCATGTTGCCAGTCTTTGTCCAATGTCCTGTTGATGGATCGTACAATTCTGCACTATTCACAGAGACACTAATACTTGAAGATCCACCAGCAACTAACACATGTCCATTAGTTAGTATGGATGCTGTGTGACCGTACCGTGAAAAACTCATGTTGCCAGTCTTTGTCCAAAGTCCTGTTGGTGGATTGTACAGTTCTGCACTGTACAGAGAACTACTAGGGGTTATTCCACCAGCAACTAATACTTGTCCATTAGTTAGTACCGATGCTGAGTGATAGCACCGCGCAAAATTCATACTGCTTGTATTCGACAATCCTACAAAAAAGTAACCTAATGCAGCAATCTGAGAGTTTGTATATGGAATCTGTTTATCAGTTTTATAGGAAATACTTCTGCGTTTAAGTTAATATTGAGTTTCTCCTGAGATTTTCAGATGTATGAGTCATTGTACAACTCTAGCAGACAAAATTTTTGAAAAAACGTTTAAACACACAAACGGGAATCGCAATTGTAAGCCATGAATGCTCATTAGCGGATGCACCAAACGCAATTCCATCCAATTCCAAGTCCAATTATTGTCTTGGAATTGGCGGAATTGGAATTGGTGCATCCCTACATTCCTTAATATCTTAAATTAGAAATCAGAAAAAAAACATATCTAGAAGTCTCAAATTCTACACTAGTCTTAGGACAATGTGAAAGGTTCAACATTAGGTGTGAATGGGTATGGGGTGTGCATATGAATATGGGTGTGAATATGGTTATGCAATGATAGCAGACTCACAATGATACCTAAATCTACACTCACGCCCTTTCGATTTGAATCTCTTATTGCTTTCTTTCTACTCAGGCAAGCAAAAAATAAGGGAGGGCGCCCGACATGAATAGTCTCAAATGTCTGCACTACCATCTGGTCTAGTCTGAAATGACTTGCAGTCTGTCAGAACTAGTTGTCTTGACGCACAAAGTCTTGTAACTTCATATAGGCTAGTCCGAAACGTGCTCTCACCCTGTCATGACTAGTCTGTTTTGTATATTCATACTGTCCAGACGCGTCAGCGTAACGAGAAAAGTCGGAAGAAAAGGAGAGCATAGGTGGATTCGAACATTTGATCCAACGATATTGAATACCTGACTAATCTAGATTATTTTTAATAGCAATCCAGACTAATGTAAACAGTCATTTATACTAGTTATGACTGGTTGTTTTTAAGAAACTAATGCCAGATTTTATTCAGAATAGTCTACTCTTTAGATAGCCTCTTTTGGTTACACTTAATTATGCGAGCAACTCATTTAGACTCGTTTATATATAGACTAGAACGAAGTATCCAACGAGGGTTGTCTATTCTGTCTTTTAAATTTTCAGACTGTAATAATAATTAAGAATAGTTTTATTAGAACAATGAATTTTAGTATTTTTCTATGAGAATATTAATATATCTTAATATAAAATCTGATGATTTGAAGTAAAAAGGCGATTTAAATCATAGAATTGTAGCTTAGTTTCAAATTTAAACCGAAAATATTCTAAATGAAGATATATATAAACTATGACATGAAAGGCAAGATTTTTTAGAATATAGATTATTTTTAGGGTGGTAGGTGTGGGTGTGTAGGTGTGGATGTGAGTGGGAGTCTTCCTTTAGTCATACCCATACCCGGAAATACCCAAAATTCGACGAAGAAATGATTTTGATACAGTAAGTATTTTAAAACAAATCGTTCCAACTTGCTTAAGAGATATGCAGAACTTAGCAATGTTTTCACTGTCTCTTCTCATGCAATTATATCATTGTTTGATCATATGAATGAGAAGAGACAGTGAAAACATTGCTAAGTTGTGCATTTCTCTTAAGAAAGTTGGAACGATTTGATTTAAAATACTTACTGTATCAAAATCATTTCTTCATCGAATTTTGGCTATTTCCGTACATTTCTACGGCCAAAGTACGATGCTATTGCA